GGAAGGAGAGCTATAACTACGACAGTGTGGCATAGTGGTCTGAGTGTTGGACTGCAACTCTGGAGACCAGGATTCAATTCCCAGCTTGGCCATGAAAGCCATTGGGTGGCCTTGGGTGAGTCACACTCTCTCAGCCTCAGGGGAAGGCAATGGCAAACCTCCTCTGATCAAATCTTGCCAAGAAAACCCCAGGATAGATTTGACTTAAGGTCACTATAAGTTTGAAATGACTGGGAGGCACACAAAAACAAAACATATACCTAACTACTACAGTCAGGGAACTTGGGGTGGTGGCAGCGTTTGGGCTTTGCTTTGAATGCAAACGATCATCAGTCCCATTCCTGGCATCTCCACCTTTGAAAAAAAGGATCCTCTAAGTACTCTTAAGTCACTAGATCCTTTCCTAAACACCCAAATTAGTCCTTGGATGGGAGAATGCCAATGAATAGTAAGTGTGTAGGCTGTATTGAGTGCAAGGAACTGGCAAAACTACCTCTGAGGAGTCCATGCCTGAGAAACCCTGAGAAATTAATGGGGTTACCATAGGTTCACGGGTGGCTTGAAGTCTCACACACACACACACCAGAACTGTATGCCTGCACCTGGAAAGTCCCATCTTGCATTCCCAGATCTCTCTGTAAATAAGTCAGTGGGAACTTCAGGCTTTGCCTTCTCCCAACAGGCTCTTGCCCTCAGATGACCCTTCCTTCCCCTTGCGGCCTCCTCTGAATACAGTCCACCAGATTTCATGGACAAGAGTACTGTGTCTGTCTCAGAGAGCCAAGGACCGTGTGCTGGGAGAAATGTTCGGACAGGTCTGAGACCTCATTGCCCTGCAACCTGAACATGAGGGGCAAGGACAGAAGCTGGCGCAAGGCTTCAGAGTCCACCATGGGTCAACTGAATGGCTGGAAAGAAGCAGCCCCTAGAAATGCCTCTCTCTGCCTGGCATGAACCTGGAGCCATCCTGCTATCAGGGCTATGGCCAAGGGATGGCCCAGAAGGATTTTGGAGAAGGAGCAGTCTATGCACAAGATTAAAAGACCCTCCACTCACCCAGAAAAACAGCATGTTGGAGAATTTTATGGGGATTCAAGGAAGGGCGGAAAGAGTTTAAG